AGTGGGTGCTAACTGAGGACCTTTCCATTAGCAGCCAAGCACGTAGCTGCCACATGGCCAGGTAGCCTTTCCAGCCCTCAGTCTCACCTTGCCAGCTCTTTATGACCAGCAGAGTTCCCTGAACTTGGAAAAGAGATGCGGAGGGCTGTGACCACTTTCGTCTACAGAACTCTCACTCAGCAGAGCAGGGCCTTGGACAGCCTCCCCTTGCCTCTGAGAAAGGAGCGAAGTCTAGAGTCAACAAGGACAAAGCAGCTTCCGGGAATGGGCCATGGTTTTCTTTCTTCTTTCTTGTGGTGAGTATGAACGTAAGAGGTCATTTGTCAATTCTATAGTCGACACATACAGCTCCAGCTCAGTGGCATTCATTAGTTATCATGTGGTTCTGCCAGAACTTTTCCATCACCCTGAATGGAAGTTCAGTGTCCCCAAAGACTGCGCCTTCCTTTCTCCCTTCTTCCCACCCGCTCTTCGTCACCACAAATATAGTTCAGTCTCGATATGCTTGCCTATTCTAGATACTTCATATAAGGGGGGTCCTACGCTGCTTGTCCTGGTATGGCGTCGTAAGATAAGCACTTGACCTCGGGATTGGTTTGAACCACAAGGTCGATGGTTTAAACTCACCAGTTGCTCCTCGGAAACCCTATCCGGGGTCACTATGGGTCGGAACTGACTCAGCGGCACTAAATACAATAACAACACTGTTTGTCCTTCAGTGACTGACTGACTTCACTGAGCATGACATTTTCAAGGTTCATGCGTGCTGTGGCAGGTAGCCTGACTTCATTATGCTTTTTGGCTGAGTCATATTCCACTGGAGTCCTGGTGTGGCACTGTAGGATAGACACTGGACTGTTAACCACAAGGTTGGTGGTTCAAACCCACCAGCCGCTCCTTGGAAACCTTCTGCAGGGTTGCTATGAGACTTGGTAGCACTTAACAACCACCACAAGGTTCCATTGCAGGATAGACCACATTGTGTTCATGCACCATCTGGTACTGGGCTCTTGGCATCAATGTTTCTATCAATGTCACTAATGCTGTCGTGTTTATGGCCCTCCTTTTAATTCTTATGGGCATATGCCTAGGGACAGAATCGCTGAGCCATGAGCTAGTCATGGTGAGCTTTGGGGGGAACTACCAAACAGTTGGCCACAAGTGGGTATACTCTTTTATAGTCCCACCATCAAGGAATGTGGATTTCAGTTTCTCTACATCCTCGCCAACACTGGTTATTTTCTGCTTTTTAAATCACAGCCATCCTAGTGGGTGAGAAGTGATTTGTAGGAGCTCTGGTAGCGTAGTGGTTACGAATCGGGCTGCGAACCTTAAGGTCAGCGTTTCGAAACTACCAGCTGCTCCGCGGGAGAAAGATGAGGCTTTCTACTCCCGTAAAGATTTACACCCTCGCCTCAGAAACCCTGTACAGGGTTGCTATGGGTCGGAACCGACTCGACGGCACTTAACAACAACAATGGCTAATGCATTGCATCTCAATGTAAAGAAAACAAAAATCCTCACCACTGGACCAATAAACAACGTTCTTATCAATGGAGAAAAGATTGAAGTTGTCAAGGACTTCATTCTTCTTGCATCAACTATCAACACTCATGGAAGCAGCAGTCAAGAGATCAAATGACGTATTGCATTAGGCACATCTGCTGCACAAGACCTTTTTACAGTGTTGAAGAGCAAAGATGTCAGCTTGAGGACTAAGGTGTGCCTGACCCAAGCCATGGTGTTTTCAATAACCTCATATGCATGAGAAAGCTGGACAGTGAATAAGGAAGACCGTAGAAGAATTGATGCTTTTGAGTTATGGTGTTGGAGGAGAATATTGACAGTACCATGGGCTGCCAAAAGAACCAACAGATCTGTGTTGGAAGAAATGCAGCCAGAGTGCTCCTTGGAGGCCAGGATGGCCAAACTTCATCTCATACTTTGGACATATTGTCAGGAGGGACCAGTTTGGAGAAAGATATCATGGTATATCATTGGTAGGGTGGAGGGTCGGAGAAAAATAGGAAAACACCCAGTGAGATGGATTGGCAAAGTGGCAGTATTGATGGACTCAAGCGTGGCAACAATAGTGAGGTTGGCTCAGGATGGGGTAGTGTTTCATTCTGCTGTGCATAGGTTGCTATGAGTCGGTACTGACTTGATGGCACCTAACAATAACAACAACAATGGCTAATGGAGTCCTGGTGTGGCGCTGTGGATAAATGCACTGGAATGCAAAGCCATTTGAACTGCAAGGTTGGCAGTTCAAGCTCACCAGCCGCTCCTTGGAAACCCTATACAGGGTCGCTATGGGTCAGAACCAACTCGACAGCACTTAACGACAACAAATGACTAATGAGTTCTGATGTGACGCTGTAGCATAGCACTGGACAGCAGTTCAAACCCACCAGCCATTCCTTAGAAACCCTGTACAGGGTCATTACGAGTCAGAACCCACTCGAGGGCACTAAACAACAATGACCAATGAGGAGTCCTGGTATAGCACTGTAGGATAAGCACTGGATTGCTAGCTACAAGGTTGGTGGTTCAAACCCACCAGCCGCTCCTCAGAAACCCTCTACAGGGTTGCTATGCATCAGAACTGACTCAATAGCACCTAACAATGCCAACAGTGGCTAATGATGCTGAGCATCTTTTCATGTACTTGTTGGCCGTTGGAGTATCTTCCCTGGTGAAATGTTTATTCAAGTTCAGAATGGACCATCTTTTGTGACAGTTTCTTTGCTGGTTCTGCTCTGTTGTCTCTGGAAGGGGAAGCAAGACTGGGGCCCAAGGGACAAAGAGGCTTCCTGGACACATACCCCACTTCTTAGGTCCAAGAAGGACAAAGAAGTTTCCCAGATGTTGCTCATCTGAGAATAAGACCATGTATCTGTCCAGCCTGTTTTATACCTGCTACATGCTCTTCAGAGCACTCTAGGTCTGCCAATGGGACATGGGTGGGAAATGTCCCACTCAGCATCAGGGACCAGAGCCCCAGGTTTCACAGTCCCGTCTGTGAGGAGGGGAGTCCTTCCTTGCCAATGCTGCTATCTCCCCCAAGTTGTAAGATGCATGGTTGCTCTTAGCCGCCACTGTGACCTTGATATCTGTCTCAGTCTTGGAGGGGCCTTTCCTGATGGTTCCTGTCTCCCTAAGTTGTAGGATGTGTGGCTGGACTTGGCCATTGTGACCTTGCCTATGGGTACCCAGAGGGCCCCCACAATGTTGTGAACACCATGACCGTTCTTTAGATTTTTCATTCTTTTGTTGTCGTTAAGTGTCGTCAAATTCCTTCCAACTCATAGTGAGCTTGAATAGGGTGTCTGAGAAGCGGCTGCTGAATCTAAACTACAGACCTTGTGGTTCCAACCAACCTTGCAGCCCAGTACTTTATGCCACAGCACCACAGCAGGACTCCTTTACTTCTTTGTTGTTGCTGTTGTTAAGTGCCATCGAGTTGCTTCCAACCCACAGCAATCCTGTATAGGGTTTTCAAGGAATAGCTGGTGAGCTTGAACTGCTAACCTTGCAGTTCAAACCAACTTTGCAGTCCAGTGTATTAACCCAATAACAGGGATGATCTGGCCTGGGTTTCTTCTTCAACTTGAACAGCCTGGCCCGCTTTGCTTACAGAGGTAAAGAGGATTGATGTTGAGTCTGGCCCCCGACGATTAGCCCCTTCCAGCCCAGTTCCCCAAACCCAGGCACTTGTCCTGTACATGACTTCTCTCTCTCACAGGTTAGATGAGAGCTCTGATTCACAACCTACTGTCCAAGAAGATCACAGACAAGTCAAGAGAGAACCCCAGCCCACACTTTGCTTCAGGGACAGTTCTTCAGGAACAAAGTCTGAAACTGACCAAGTTTCAGTGTTGACAAAGTATTCTCTCAGCCAGTTTCACACTGGTGTTGACAGTACTGACAAAGCCAGCCACTCTCCCTGTTCAGAACTCTCACAACCAGTTTCTCAGGCCCCAGGGAGCTCCCCTCAATAGAGAAGACAAGAAGGCAGCTATTTAGATTTCTGAGCCATGGGTGGATGGCGAGGTGCGTCCAGTAGAGCCAAGGGCCATGTTAAGGGCAGGCACACTTAGCAGGTTTGAGTCGGGAGCCATCTGAGGCCCCTCCGTCAAAGGCCAGGAGACTTCCCTAGAACCAAAATGCCTGGGCTTTTTCTTCCAAAGTCAAGGGGGCCATTTTCTGGCCTGCTGACCACTCACGAGATGTTGAGGGCAGGGAGAAAGCAAAGTTGTGAAACCAAGTCCGACTTCTGCTTTCGGTTCCTGGTTTTGAGTACAGGGTTACTTTAGCAAGGAGCTTCTCAAGCAGTTTTAGGACTCATGATTCATGTGCACATGGACTTTTCCTTTTGGGACACTTTCTAGAAGGATCCAGCTTCCTTCTCTAGGAAGTGTAACAATCTGTCCAGAAAAGAGGTGAGGGTTCCGGGATCCGGCCTCAGAAAGTCAGGCCAGGCAGAACTGGGAGGTGGGGTGGAGTGGAGGGAGGCGCAGTGACCTCCTCCCTTGATTTGGGGGACCCACTACCTATTCCTGGGGCAGTCTGGGCCCTCATGTATTGCAGGGCAGGTGGGATTCCCAAGAATCCAGGTCTGGACAGGGTGACCTTCAGATCCTACACACAGTCTCAACACCACCAATGTGTCCCCACATACACACACAGGGTACCAGGAAGCTAAGGCAGTGTGACAATAGGCCCTCCGTCATCAAGCTCCGGTGTGACTAGCAGTGATGGTCACCTAGGCAGTCACCTAACCAAGGCCTGGGTGCACGAGCTGAGTGCAGGCACTCGGGCTGCGGGGCGGGGCCGGGGTCACCAGGGCCAGTTCGGAGGGGACCGCCCCGCCCCGGGGGAGTGTCCCGGCGCGGCTGCAGCCTTAAGGGCCCTTGGCTGGGCCAGGACGCAGCGGACCCGGCGCAGGACAGGAGCGCACTCCTAGCGGGACCCCGAACTCTGCAGACGTGGAACGGAGCATGGCGTCGTGCGGGGCGCGGCCGCGGGCTTTGCTGCTGCTGCTGCTGCTAGCGGGCGCGGCGCGGGCCGGCCTCTACTTCCGCCCGGGCCGCAGCTGCTACCGCCCCCGGAGCGGGGACCAGCTGGCGCCGGGCCGCAGGTCTGGGGGCCAAGCGCCAGGCGGGGATCCAGACTGGGCCTTCCATGACCTTGGGGTCAGACCACCCCGGCGCTTGGAGGTCATCCTGGCGTTTGCTGGGCTGAACAGGACCCCCCGCCAGGGCCCAGGCCTCTGGGGACCCCTGAGACTTGCCCCAGCCCCCTCATTTTAGAGAGCTTACTCTCAGCCCCCTCATTTTGGAAGGCTTGCCCCTCACTCCTTCATTTTGGAGCTCTTGCCCCAGCCCCCTTAGTTGGTTTTTCTTTTTTGTTTTTTTTTGCCCTCAGCCCCCTCAGTGGGCTTGTTAGTGTTCTGGGCCCCAGATGGGTGATGGAGACCCTCACTTGGCACATTTTGGGGAATGGAGGTGCTCCAGGGAGGGCCCCTGTGCCTATGGTCCCCCCAAGGGCCCCAGCACTGATTTTGTGTTTGGCCTCTTCCCAGAACCTACCCCAGGCCTCATGAGTACCTGTCCATGAAGGACCTGCCCAAGAGCTGGGACTGGCGCAACGTGAAAGGCGTCAACTATGCCAGCATCACTCGGAATCAGCACATCCCTCAGTACTGTGGGTCCTGCTGGGCACACGGCAGCACCAGTGCTCTGGCAGGTAAGAGACCAAGGACTGCGGGTGGGGTGTGGCTGGACCAGGAGTGCCTGGGTTCTGGCCTAGGGAGCAGGCCTCACCCACCCCCGTTTCCTAGAGACATAGGGACCACAGGGGCACAGCTGGGTGGCAGGCCCAGGAGAAAGCTCAGAGAGCAATGGCTTCTAGGTGCTGTCTCCTCATAGCAGGGATCCCAGCGACTTTGGGCAGAAGCAGAAGTGTACCCTGTTACCCACCCCCCTGCTGCATGTGGGCACACAGAAGTGAAACTAACCAGTTAATGTTTGAGAGGGTGGAGTGAGGGCCGACTGGCAGCCTGGCTTCACTGTGGCTTCCTAAACTGAACTTTAGCCCTGATGATGTCGCAGTGAAGCTGCCAACAAAAACATCTGGTTCAACCCCACCAGCAGCTATACGTGGGGAAGACATAGCATTCTTCTCCTCAATCTCTGGGACAGTCCCAGATCTGGAATCGACTTGAAGGCAGTGGGCTTGATTTCGGATTTAATCTGAACCTTAGTCTCTCACTACAGCGGTCTGGGGGCTCACCTCACCTCGAGTGGACCTGGGGGAAGTGGAGGCCCACTCCCGAAGGGACAGGCTGCATTGGTCTCAGGAGAGGTGCTGCCATCCCTGCTGGGCAGGTGGCAGAGCCACGTGATCGGTCACCACACTTTCAGGAACTCTCCCCATCTAGGGACCTCCCCAGGCCTCGTGTCAGCGGGTATGGTAACAAGTGAGGCCACCGCCCCTTGCCCAGCTTCAGTGACAAGGCCTTGTATATGTGTCTGTCCTCTGCCCTGGTATCCCTATTTCACAGATGAGGAAACTGAGGGGTTTGGGGTGGGAATTGGCAAGGTTGGCCATGCTGAGAAATCAGCTGAACTAGAGCCCCTGTTGGCCAGGATCTTGTGGGCTGTCTTTAAGGCCAGGGGTCTCTATTCTGGGGAGAGGTCAACCAGACAGGCTGTCTCTGGACCCTGAGAGGCCAGCTGTAAGCTTGGCATCTGGTGGAGACTGGCTGTCTGACTCGGTCTCCTCTTGGGGACCTAGGAGGAATTCTCTGGATGGAGTGTACTTCTGAACCTTCATAGGACCGGGGTGTGGCATGGGCCCCATTGTAAGGTGTGGGAGCCCCAGGAGAGGCTAGGTTGTTAACTGAGGTGAGGAGTCAACCTGCTTGGAGTGGGTGTCAGGGCCTGGGGCCCCAGGAGTCCGGGCCAGGCCCTAGGAGGAACTGAAAGGGCCCTTGTGGGGGAGGCAGAGGGTGGGGCAAGAAGGAGGAGAGCAAGCAAGTGGAGTCGCCTGAGGCCCCACCCTGAGGGATCTCAGGGAGGGGCCTGACACATCTGCTGTGTGTGAAAGATTGTGTGTGTGGTGGCAGGGGGGGGCCCACAGTGGACCTCAGAGGCTCCACCCACAGAGTCTGGTGGCTCGTAGCAAACAGCTTTGTTTTCCTGAGGCCTCTAGTATCTCCCCTGCAGCAGGGGCCCTGAGAAAATAGAAGCCACCAGATACAAGTCCATGGATGCCTAGAGTCATTGGGGTCAGCGGTTCATGTCCCTCAAGAGACCTTTCAAGCAGGAGATCCACCCTCTTACCTAGGGCCTTGGCAGGCTGACTCCTCCTACCTGGAGCAAGTGGAGAGCCCCATGCCTGGGCTTCCCGTCCAATCATTCTGCTTCCAGTTCTCCGTCCTGAACCTACTACAGCGCCCCGCACACCGCCGCCCACTGAATTGTCTGTGTGGTAGCTGGTCCTCATGGTTTCTAGGAACCCTTTCCTTACTGCCCACGCCATGATTCCCTGGACCACCTCCCTCCTGCCCAGCCTTTGAGCATTGAGGTCCCTGGACTTAATCCTCCGTCTCTCCAGACTGTACCTGACCTCAGCCAGCACCTTTCTGAATAACTTCTCCTTCCCAACTTACCTTTGAGGACCTACCCCATCCTCTCCGTCTCAGGGGAATTAAATATCACCCTTCCTGTTCGAGGGGGGATAGCAGACCACCATTGTACTTCATACACACATTCAGAATTACATCTTCTTTCCCGGCGGGCGCTTTGACGCCCTGGGCTTAGCCATCCTTGTCCACCTGTTAGCTTCCAATGGAGCTGTCTCCCTCCTGTCTGTCTGCTAGCTACAGCAAGCAAGGCAGCTCTTCTGCTGGTTTCACTTATACAGGACCAAACCCATACTTGACCTCCAAGAGCCTAGGGTCTCACTCCTTACAGTTTATTGTAACCGCCTCCCGCTAGCCCCCTGCTCTTTCTTTTTTTTCCCCCCCTGCTCTTTCAAAGGGGTGATGCGTCGTTCTTCTTATGCCAGATCCTCTGTCTAGAACCTGCCCCTCGTCACCTCTCGGCTGCCTCCCTACCTCCTGTGGATCTCACCTCCATGTTGTTAAGTCAGTTCTGACTCACAGTGATTCTGTATAGGGTTTCTGAGGAGCAGCTGGTAAGTTTGAACTGTCAACTTTGCAGTTCAAAGTGACCTTGAGGTCAAGTGCTTATCCTAGGGTGTCACACCAGGAAACCACCTTATTTTTTTTCATAGCCTTATACACATGAGGGGTCCTGGTGTGGCGTCTGACTGCAAAGTCGTTTGAACTGCAAAGTTGGTGGTTCAAGCTCACCAGCTGCTCCTCAGAAACCCTATATGGGGTCGCTATGGGTCAGAACCGACTCGACGGCACTTTACAACAATAAGATCAATGTGGGAGTCCTGGTGTGGTGCTATAGAATAAGCACTGGACTGCTAAATTGCAAGGTCGGCAGTTCAAACCCACCTACCACTCCTTGTAAACCCTATATTGGGAGTCCTGGTGGGGCACTGTGGGTTAATGTGCTGGACTGCAAAGTTTGTTTGAACCACAAGGTCAGTAGTTCAAACTCAGCAGCTGCTACTTGGAAACCCTATACAGGGTTGCTGTGGGTTGAAATGGACTCAATGGCACTTCACAACAACAACAACAATATACATGAGGGTACTTCCAAAATGACTGGGAAAATTCCATTCTCTTTTTCAAAGTCCCCCACATTAATTTTTAACCTTGTCTTTCCCACTGTGCTAATCTCTTTGACCTGAGTAACCAAGTACTACAGAATTGGTGGCTTAAAGCACCAAAAACCCATGCTTTCCCAGTTCTGAAGACCAGAAGTCCAAAATCAACATGCCATTGGGTCTGTGCGCCCTCTTAGGAGAAGATTCTTCTCGAGTCTTGAAGCTTTTGGTGAACCCAGGTGTTTTTTGGCTTGTGGCCGCATCGCTTCAGCCTTTCCTTTGTCTCCACACGGCCATCTCCTTGTCTGTGTCCTCTCCTTCTTACAAGGACACCAGTCATTGCATTTAGGACCCAGTGGAATTTAAGGATGACCTCATCTCAGGATCCTTAATTACACCCCTGCAAAGACATTCCTTCCAGATAAGGTCACACTGAGGCACCAGGTGGACGTGAATTTGGGGAGGACACTGGTCCACTGCCCCCACTATCAGGGAACCTCAGAGGGTGGAGGTTGTGTTCCGCAGGAAGAACGTGCAGGGAGGGGTCCAGGGAGTGAAAGCGGATGGGCCTGAGGGCCTGGAGCTTTGCTGGTGACGGTGGATTCCAGAAGGCACAGGGCTGGGGAGTGGGAGCTGCTCAGAGACTCCAGGGGCGTAAGGCAGGGTGAATTGTGGGAAGCAGAGACGGGTCCATGGAGGGGCTGCTGGTGGGCCGAGTACAGGCTGCAATGTGCAGAGGCAGTGAGCCTGAGGCAGTGGGGAAATCTTTGTCTTGGGAGAGCGGGACCCAGATGATTAGGGAACTGAGGTGGGAAGGTCAGGAGGGGTTGGAGAGGGAAGCAGGCTGGTCGTGATGTGGGGTCCGGGCTGCTCTGCAGGGCTGTGTGAGCTGGGCGTGCGTGTCTTCCGGTCAGCCTGCCTTGTCTCATGGACATGTCTGGTCCCCAAGATGAGCTACCTGCACTGCCATTTCCACATGGTGACCAGGAGGCAGGGACGGTGTCATCATGCCTGAGTGATCCTGCCTTTAGTGGACGGGGTGGGGTGCAGGACCTCAATGTGGAGGCCAGGCCGGCATGTCTGCATGTCCTGACCAATCCTGCGTCTCTGCAGACCGAATCAACATCAAGAGGAAGGGTGCATGGCCGTCCATCCTGCTGTCTGTACAGAACGTCATCGACTGTGGCAATGCTGGCTCCTGCGAGGGCGGTAATGACCTGCTGGTATGGGCCTATGCCCACAAGCAAGGCATTCCTGATGAGACCTGCAACAACTACCAGGCCAAGGACCAGGGTAGGCCCCTCCGCCCGACTGGGACCTACCTCAGGGCCATCCTCACCTCTCTGTCCCTTGGGTGTGGCGTTTGGGTGGTGTGGCACGGCTGGGCAGAACCAGAAGTCTGGAGTTGGGGGCACTCCTGGTCTGAGCCTCAGGAATACAGGAGTGGGGGGCACGGGAGAAACAGCCCCTGAGGAATGAAACACTGGCTTATTTAGGTCCTAGGCCATCAGCTCTTCTGCCACCAAAGTGGAGAGCTGGGAGCCATGGGGGCGGTGGAGAGATGAGGGAAGGGCATGGGGGCTGCCCCTCCCCCAGCTGCCCCATCTAGAGGAGGGTTTGCTCCCTGCCCCCTGAGGGAGCCCCCCTCACTGCCGTCCACCCCACCCAGGATGATAGAGCACGCGGGACTCAATCTGTCCATTCCGGCCGTGTGGCCACCCACCCACATGATTGCCCATGTGAGGGTCATCCTCAAGGAGGGGACAGGTGTGTGTCAGCAACAAGCAGCTGCTGACAGAACAGGAGAGGCGGGTGAGGCCTGAGCAGGGCAGAGAGGACCGAAGCGGGTAGTGGTCTCCCAGCCTGAGCCTTCTGTTGTCTGGATTCTGCTGCTTGCTCAAAGCAGAATCCCAAAAGAGGCGAGTTACTTTTTCAAATAGATTACCCCATTTACTCATTGGTCAGTGATAGAAGCATCTTGTTACATGCTATCAATTAGATTCCTCTTAATTCTAGCTCCCAAGTGTTGGGAAGGAACCTTTAAAAGATGAGAACAAGGCTGGGGTTTGAAAGCTTCTTCTGAGGTGCCGTCGAGTGGGCTCAACTCGCAGTAGCATAGCAGCAGGAGACCCGGCCTGCTTGTCCTCACATTGAGCCATTGTTGGTGACCAGCCACTGCGTCGTTTCATCTCAGAGTGACCGTCTACTTTATCAACATGATGGCCTCCAGGGACTGGTCCCTCCTGATAGCATGTCCGCAGTACACTTCCGAAGAGTGCTCTGGCTGGACTTCTAACAGGACACATGCATCCATTCTTCTGAGAGTCTTTGCTGTTGTTAAGTGCTGGCCAGTCAGTTCTGACCCATAGGAGTGGCTGGTGAGCTTGAACCACCGACCTTGCAGTCCGTCCATTAACCTGCAGCGCCACACCACTGTCTTCATAGAGAGAGGCGTTTTCCTAACTCCTTTGCTGCAGACAGAACATAGTTAGAGAGCACCTGGTGCCACCATAGCTTCCGTTTCCGCTCATGAATGGGAGGCTGAGGGCCGGGAAGTGGCATTGGAGATGTCTGGACCCCAGCTGACCTACTTTGCTCCCCCCTCCTCCTCCACAGAGTGTGACAAGTTTAACCAGTGTGGTACCTGCACGGAATTCAAAGTCTGCCACATCATCCAGAACTATACGCTTTGGAGAGTGGGTGACTATGGTTCTGTCTCCGGGCGGGAGAAGATGATGGCAGAAATCTACGCCAATGGCCCCATCAGGTAGGTACCTGAGGCTCCACTGGGTGTGTGTGTAGTGGGGGACCTTGCTCTGCTGCGGGCCCAGCTGCCATGCAATTGATGTCTTGGTGTTCCAGTTTCTCTGAGGTAAAGCTGAACTAACGCCGATTCTGCCCCTCACAGGGTTATTAGGAGTTGAAAAAAAA